TTATTAATTGAGTTTAAATACAAAAGCTGCAACCATTGTTAGCCAATCCTTACACTTGATGATACAAATGTTACAGTTGAATAATGTTTTCCACTTGTTTACTAAATGCAGATTATGGTAGGCCAGGTGGTTCTTTGCCATGTTTCAACCATGCTCACTGTGACTCAGTGCTCTCTCTCATAAATGATTGTGTGTGCAGAAGAAAAAAACACCTTTGCTGTTGTGTAATCCTAACTATGCCTCACAGTTGATGCTACAGTGGAATGATGGTTCTGCAGTAACCAGCATATCACTTGTAATCTTCCAGCTGAAGAAGATTTTGCGATTGATGACGAGAACAAAGGCTGTCAGAAGGTTATTCACAACGAGACGCAGAGGGTGGCTTACAGCTACTTCTTCTTTCATTTTGTCTTCTTCCTGGCCTCGCTGTACGTCATGATGACCCTCACTAACTGGTTCAGGTTAGTAAGTGACAGTTCTAGACATTGTTCTCATACATATATATTTCACATTTCTGAGATGTTTCTTTTGTAATCTGTGCCGTCTTCTCCCCAGTTACGAGTCAGCAGTGCTGGAGACCACTTTCACCCACGGCAGCTGGTCTACCTTCTGGGTGAAGATGTCGTCCTGCTGGGCCTGTGTGATCCTCTACCTCTGGCTCCTGCTGGGCCCTTTGTGCAGCTGTCAGAACGAATCCAGACCTCGCCGCTCGCGCATCAAACGCCGCTCAACATCGTCCCGCCATGTCACCGTCAGTGTCTGACACTCAGGAAGTAGCCTGGCAGGAGGAGAGTGGACAAGAGGTCAGGTGTCGGAGGGCCTCCCCGTGTTGCCCAGCAGGAGGAAATTTTCAGGCGTGGAGGTCACTGGGGTGAGGGGTCAAAGACTCACGGTGTTGTGAGAGAAACCCACGGGTGGTGCCCCTGCTGACATGTGAAGAACTGGGCACAGGCCTGATGTCACAGGCTTGATACCCTAAACCACTAACAAGGACATAACTGTGGTTTAGAAGCACATTACAATATGAATTGCCAAAGGGATCAGAAGTGAACTCTCACTCAGTATACTGGGAATCGCAGTAAGAGGGTAGGTGTAAAGATTTTGAATGTTTAATTTTAGTATTTTTATTATTTTTGCAGCATGTAGACACTTAAAATTGTAAGAGAGAACACTGTTTATGTATTTGCTAGATTACTATTTCAGAGGCGCATGTCCCTAACATTTAAAACTTTTTCATGTATAACAAATAAAGAATTTGCCCTAAAGCACAGAGCCTTTTTAGCCCTCTGACAAATAATTGAGGGTTATGGAGCATGAACAAATCTTTCAAATTCTGCAAAAACACAAACAGTTTAAGAACTACCTATAAAGCAACACGTTTTCCTACCGACACATTTACAGTTCAATCTGTGCAGTAACTTTGAATCTTTTTGTACATCTAATCTCTCTCCTCCGCATACAACTGCAAACCTGAAAAAAAGGTCACATTACACATAACTACACTTGACACACTCATCTTTCATCTAAAATAACGTCATGCATACATACAAAAAAGCATAATCCAGTCATCTTGAAAGAAAGAAAAATGCACATGAGACTGGCTCCATATAAAACAAGGCATTC